AAAAGAAAAATCGGAAAATAGGTGCATTTCGCAAACCAATGAAAAAAATGACACAATTTGACCTCCAACTCGGTACCTTGTAGCGGTCGGCCCGACGGGTACGTGCGGCCCGTTTTTCTCAATGGGTCAGGGTCAAAGTGGGTCGACCCGCGGGTTGACAACCTTGTATAGTGTTATGGGAAAAGGAGACATCTATTAAGTTTCCAAAAACAAGAAAAGGAAACACAGGTAGTCAAATGTCATTTCTTTTATTAACCATCCCATTTAGTATAATTTTTATCTTGTTGTGTTTTATCAAGGTTGTGCCATCATAGAAGCAACACAACACCAACACAATCCAAATGAACAACGTGTTTATCTAAAAAAAGTAGCAAATTTCGGAACACCAAAAACCAATACAAAACATGTTTACTTCCGTTGTTCTCTTTTGATTTCAAATTAAAAAAAAATATATAGATCTGAAAATCTGATTCATCGGCGTCACTGCCACCCAACAGCCCGATGCCACCGTTTGCCGTAAAGAAGACCGGAGAAATAAAAGGAAGCCACTGCCGTCCTCCGCAGCCGCCTCCCAACAACCTGCCGCCCCTCGACTCGCTGTAGACGGTTTGTTTGTGTGTAGCGCGGCATCCCGGAGAAGAAAATAAGAGAAAGAGAGGGAAGTTGCCTCCCGACCTCGCTCCTGTCCCAATAGCCCGACGTCGTCCCTGCTTGGCATGAGAAAAGTTTGGAAAAGAAGATGAGAACGAGAGGCGATTTTGGGAAAGTCACGAAGAAAAGTGATTGGTGTGGGGGAATAGAGAAAGTCATGGAGAAAGAGGAAAATAATTAAAAAATAACTTAAATGGAGGAAGAATCTCGTAGGCAACCATGGAATGAAACATGCCCGAAGCCATCTTTTATTGTTTTTTTTTTACATAGATAGATTGTAGATAGACAGGAGATTACAAGGGGTTGAAAAGTAAATAGCGGCAGACGACCGAATGTCGAGCTGCTGATGCAAGGGCCTTTTTTGCCACTAAATGGGCAGCCCTGTTAGTCCTACGAGAAGCAAAAACAAACTTAATGAAAAAGAAGCTTGACTTCAGTAGGCGAATCTCCTCCAGAATTGCCCCTCCGGAATCTTTTATTGTTTTGTTGATTTGGGCTTGGTTTTCAAAACCTGTTGCTATAAAGTTCACAATAAAAATAAGAAATCCAACTAAACATGTTTTCTTTTCTTGGTTTCTACAATTTTTAAAACCACAACAAAAAACAAAAACAGATAACAATACTAAACGGGCCAAGCTTCCAAAACCAAATTTGGAGGTTACAAATCCAATGCGCCAAGGTATGAACAAGCACAAGTGTTAACATGTAAATCTGTTCCCCATCTCTGGAAAATCCACACAAACAAAGCTGAATTTGATCTCAATAACTCTTCTCTCTTGTGGTTTCTAGGTGGAAGTCAATCGCCCACTCGGGTCGCCACTCTTACCAAAACGACAACTACAGAGGTAACCTTTGATTGATTCCTCCCCTGTTTCATCGTGGTTATTATTCATTCTGTCATATCATCGTGTTATTATTCATTCTCGTCTTTTGCATTTCCATTGACCTAATCATGTACAATTTGCATGCTGTTCTAACCTAATCAGCATCAATTCCTTTCTTCTTCTTATTCTTGGGGTTTTCCTTGAGGAAGGTGAAGATTTAGGGGTCGTTTGCTTCAAGGTGGACGTGGGATTTGGTTCTCAAATCCAACACATGAAGAATTTGTCCAAAAGCCATTGTTTGTTGAGCCAAAATGGAGGGTACCAAATCCGTGGGGTCCACTAAATTAGGGCTCCAAATCCGTGGGCCCCACGGATTTGTAAATCCCACCTCATACCCTGGAATTTGGAGACAAGTTGAAAAACCATCAAATCCATGATAAAAATAGCTCAACAAACAAAAGATTTCCTCAAATCCATAATGCCCAAAATCCCTAATAAATCCCAAGGTTTTTAATTAGCAAATCCATGACAAAATCCTCGTTATAAAATCCTTGAAGCAAACGACCCCTTAAGAGGTTGTTTGTTGATGGATTTGGTCGTGTATTTGGATTTATCATGGATTTTGTTTAAACTCCATTATTTGCTTCATGTATTTGGAGATAACAAATCCGTCGGCTTCACGGATTTGAAAATTCAACATCTTTAGGTGGGAATTGATGATGGACTTCATTTACAACCAAGGCTGTCAACCTGCGGGTTGATCTGGACCCGGTCAAGCTAGTGGGTCAAGGGTTAACGGGTCACCCGTTTTAGCCCAGAAATATGGAAAGAGTCATTATATTGTACTTATCCTGATAAATTATATCAAATCTCATCTAACATATGAGTAATAACATATAACAATACACAAAAGTAACATGTCGTACTTAGATCCAACATATACTGAAAATTCACATACACTTACATAACATCAATATTCAAATGTGCAACTAAGGATTCCAAAGATTGAGTTAGGCGAAAAGAAAAATCGGAAAATAGGCGCATTTCGCAAACCAAAGAAAAAAATGACACAATTTGTCCTCCAACCTGATACCTTGTAGCGTTCGACCCGACGGGTGCGTGCGACCCATTTTTCTCACAGGGTCAGGGTCAAAATGGGCCGACCCGCTGGTTGACAACCTTATAACCAACCTACCCCTCTTATTATCTTTCTTTTCTCATACAAATGAGGGCAATATAGGTCAATTTCACTTCATACATACAAATCGGATTGACCAAATCCGTCATGGCATCTATGAAACAAACAAAGACATTTTTCAAGTTCATAATGAACCAAAAGCCCTTATATATCTATGGTTTCACAAAACTCAAATTTCACCAAAACCTTCATTTTTAAAATTCATGAAACGAACCACCCGTTAATGCTCATATTATGTGAGATTGTTTGCTTAGATTTCGTAATCTTCTAGTGCTAATACATTGGAGCAAATGATAGCTACAAGTGATGAATTCACTAAGTTGTACCTAAAATATAGATATATGTATTTATTAGTGTTTATGAGATACCGTATGGCACCAGACGATTTTACCGGTTATAAATTATGTACTACTAGTTGAACCTGTCGTGAGTTTTTGACAACATTATAATAGTATTCTAATAGTTTAGTTTATTATATCGGTATTATTTTCCAAACCATTTGTCTCGCCAATTTAATCTCCCATATGATTTTACCATTAATTGCATTGCCTACTCTATTCTCTTATGAAACGTATTTAGTTCTTTGTACTATGGAAAGTACATTTGTCAGTGTGTCCTCTGTTTGTTGGATTGCCGCCTTCGGGTGGTGTTTGCCCAAGTCTTCCCTTCGAAAACCAGCAATGTAGGAGCCTTCCAAACAGAGGTTATTGCATATTTGCCTTTACCTTTTCTCAGTCTTACTGGCTGTTAATTTTGTTTAAGAGCACAAATCATTATAATTAGTGGCCAAAGAGTTATCTGCAGTAGTTGTTTGATAAAGAAATTTCACATGGTTTCCTTCTATGGTTTCTATTAAGTGCATGTCACCAAATCATATATTAATTACATAATAGAAGTGCATGGACTATTAATGCCCATATCGTTGACGTTTCACATGTTGGTTAGGTTAGGTTAGGTTAGGTGAAACTTGTAACATTGTAACCGTTATTTGAGTTGGCTGGGCAGTGGCCAGTGGGCACTTGGCCATTTTCTTTTGCTTGCTATACAGTCTACATATATACATAGGAAATCAGAAAGGAATCTAAACTGCAATATTATAAACTAGACAATACTACAATATGACAATATGCTTCATACCAAATACAATTAGGTTGCTATGGTAGAAAAGAATACGTTGTATTTCCAAACGAATTAATACAAACCTACACAACTACAAGCACAAGAACATGAACATGTATGTCTCCATACAACCAACTGATCTGGCATTAATGAAGTTATCGACTTTTGAACTAAACAAATCTCGACACCTGAAGATTATATGATCATGATTTACGGAGGCAATCTAATCACTGTTTATCCATAACAACAAGATTCTCCTTAGTGATGTCTTTCTCTTTCTCATATGTTCATCTGCAACACTCCTATTATAAGCAACACAATTTGAATGACCTTGTTTTCACCTTATGTAGTAGTAGGACTTAGTTGGACTAGAGTAAGGTCAAGGATAGCCAACCAAGTAACATAGCAATGCTTGTGATTATCACAAAGCTTTCTAAGCTAAAATCAATCATTTGATTGCATCACATACTTACTTGATATGAATTGTTTCCTTGTTTGCATTCCTACCCAGGTCAATCCATCAACATTTACCGTTAGATACAACCTTATATCATCCTTCACCTGCAATATAGTTTGTTCCGGAGCAAGGACTCTTGATTTTCGATATGACACTCTTATCATTGAAATGAGTAAGGTGGAAGGAATTAGTGATATTGGATGTAACCTATGAGTACTTAAGGGGTACTCGTTACTTGAGATTCGTCCAGAGTCAACTTGGGACGTTTGTACCAAAAACAACAACCCAACTCTATATCAACTGGATTAGGTACATACCAATTTCCTAAAATTCGAGTGTTCAGTCAGTGGCCCAGAATTAAACTACATTGGATCAACACCATCCATCTCTGTCACTCCTGCTTAACTAAGTGAACCATGGAAGTTCTGGCTGTTAGGGTTTCCCCTTCACAGAAACTTCTCCAACCAGAAATAGTAACATAACCCACCAGAAATATCAGGGGACCCGTAATTAGGAAGCTGCCATTGTTTGCTCTGATAATCTTTTTAGAGTTCTGAATGAAAAACCTTTCTGCTTCTTAACTACGGTTGTCTATGTTTGACCTACACCGAACTCAAAGGACTTTGTCAATGGCGAAAATGAAGTGTACACATTAGTATGATCCAAATAGTAGTTTGCTTGGTTCTGTGACGCCAGCTCTGAAACTGGATCTGGGAGATAGTAACTTGTGGCCTGCCAGTAAACAGAACTGCAAGCCTTGCTTAGCTTTCGTTAGGAATGAGACCAAGCCTCCCCAGAAAAGAATAAAAGGAAAACTTTGAAATCACTCAAACATCTCCTCTGTCTCACTCTCTCTTCCTTCCCCTGCATCGCTGTCCATCACCTTCCTTCCTTCCTCTGAGGAAGATGAAGAGAAAGAGGAAGCAGCTGAAAGTTGTTAGCAGAAGATATACAAAACTAAAGGTGGAGAGGGGAACGGAAACAACAATACTTGAGAATGACTTCTCTCCCTCCACCAGCACCCTAACCCCAGTTTCTTCCCAAGACAAACCCATCTCACCAAATCCCATTTCTTTTCTCTTCAAACAAAAAAAAAAAAAACCCAACCTCCCCAACAACAGAGAAGCAGAAAAGATTGCTTCTTTGGATGTAAGTAAGTAAGTAAGTAAGCAAGTCACTTTCTTTTTTCCCACTAGCTTATCAACCTCTGTTTTTCTTCCTCCCCTGTTTCTTATCATTACCCACAATTTCTGTTTATCAAGTCTTTATATAGTACAATCTCCTCCTTATTCCCCCCTTCAATTGCTTTCCTCTTTAGTATTGTTCCTTAATATGCAGCCGTCGATTCGGAGGAAATCCCATCACTTCTCGTCCTTCACGGCGGCAGCAATGAAGCAGAGGAAGAACAACAACCTCTCTGTTTTCGTCGTCGTCTTCTCCGTCTTCCTCTTTGGGATTTTCATGTACAATGAAGACGTCCAGTCAATGGCCGAGTTCCCCTTCTCCTGGCCCACTTCCCCAGAAGCGGCCCAAGATCCCGACCCAACAACCACCGCCACCGCCATTTTGGCAGCGGCGGCAGAGCAAGGGAAAATTAAGCAGGGGAGTGATGAAATTGAAACCGCGACCCAAGAAGCAGAGGTAGTAGAAGTAGAAGAAGTAGAAGGAGATGATGATGATTTGGACGACGTGGAATTGCCGCCAGAAGATTGCGATCTGTACAACGGCCAATGGGTGTTCGACAACGAGACGCACCCGCTGTACGAGGAGGAGAAATGCGAGTTCTTGACGGCGCAGGTGACTTGTATGCGGAATGGAAGGAAGGATTCCATGTACCAGAACTGGAGGTGGCAGCCCAGAGACTGTTCTTTGCCCAAGTAAGCTACAGAGCTAATTGGAAAATAATTAACAAATTTATTGATGAATTTCGGGATGATTGATGAGCTTTGGTAATGTACGATTGCATTTGCGGGAACAGGTTCAAGGCGAGGCTGCTGCTGAAGAAGCTAAGGAACAAGAGGCTGATGTTCGTTGGTGACTCGCTGAATCGGAACCAGTGGGAATCAATGATTTGCTTGGTTCAGTCCGTGATCCCTCCGGGTAGAAAGAGCTTGAACAAGAACGGTTCGTTGGCTGTTTTCAGGATCGAGGTAAATTACTCTCTTCGGTCCCTATTCTTGTTACCAATTTGCCAATTGGTCCCTTATCTTTTATACAAAAAGGGAGGATGGAATATCTTTTTCCAACAATAATAATCCGATTATGATGCTCACAAGCTCCTTGTGAGTATGTACAAACTCTCGATGTTATTAAATTAAGAACAGATAATTAACAATCGTTGAATCAAAACGATAACAACGCTTAATCCAACGACATCACACATCTATAAGCACAACAACTGTTCCTCGACAATAATAACCTTTTCCTTTGTCTTTGGCATTCCATTTTCACTACACCCTCCCTCCAACACCTGTCGATGTTATTTTATTGGTTAATCATGAAAGGATGAGCATCAAAATCAATAAATGGGATTGCTTTTGTCATGTTCTTACTGAGATATACAATTGATTAGGTTGTGGCTATGCTTTGAATCAATGAACCCCCAATATTAGAAAAATCATTACTTATTCAAATTTGGTAGATTTTGCCATGCTGCTTTTGAAGCTTTCTCTCTCTAGCCCATGCATAGCCTTAATTTCCTTTCTCTTTATTATTATTATTATTATTGACCTCTCTATTATACAACAATTGAAGAAAATGGAATCTTTTTGTTTGTTTAGTTGTTACATAATTTGGTAATGAAACCTACCTAATCCAAAATGATTCTATTTTACTAAAGAAAAAAGTATCTGACTTTTTGTTTGATGCCCACTTCTGATTTTAGTATTACTCAATAGAAGTATCTGACATTTTTTAATGAATATTTAAGGGTAAAGAGGAAAAGAGCCTAAAGAGAAAGAACAAATCAAGACACTAATAATAGAAATATATTTTTCTCATGGACCTTTGCTGAAGTAACAAGCAACTAGGGAGGGATTAACCAATGTGTAGGAAATGATCGGGTGTGGTGGTGTCCATGGCAGGACTATAACGCGACGGTGGAGTTCTACTGGGCGCCGTTTTTGGTGGAGTCGAATTCTGACGATCCGACGATGCACAGCATCCTGAACAGAATCATAATGCCGGAATCCATCGACAAGCACGGCGCCAACTGGAAGAACGTGGATTACCTCATCTTCAACACCTACATCTGGTGGATGAACACCTTCGCCATGAAAGTCTTGTAAGTACTAAATTGCTTCTTTGTAACAAATTAGCCAAATGCCAGTGAAATCCATTTCCATCGTGAGTTCAATTTTTTTTTTTAATAAATTAATTTCTCTTTCATCGCCACGTGGCACAGGCGAGGATCTTTCGATGAAGGAGCAACGGAGTACGACGAGATCCCACGGCCCGTAGCTTATCAGCGAGTGTTGAACACGTGGTCCAATTGGGTTGAACGAAACGTGGATCCCAACCGCACCACCGTGTTCTTCAGTAGCATGTCCCCTCTCCATATCAAGTATATAACATATATCCTCTCTTTCTCATCTCATCAGCTTTGATTTCTAATCCATGATTTGATATGGAGTTAGTAAACTAATCCTTAATTTAATGTAATTAGGTTACATGACGCAGGTTTTAATAGCGAGGTTAAATATAATTTTTGTTAACAGGAGCGAGGACTGGGAGAACCCGAACGGGATAAAGTGCGCGCTTGAAACGGCGCCGGTTCTGAACCAAACGATGCCGCTGGAGGTGGGGACGGACCGGCGGCTGCTGGCCATAGCGGCGAACGTGACGGCAGGGATGAAGGTGCCGGTCCACTTCAACAACATAACGCGGTTGTCGGAGTACAGGAAAGACGCGCACACGTCGGTGCACACGATCCGGCAAGGGAAGATGTTGTCGCCGGAGCAGCAGGCGGATCCGGCGACGTACGCCGACTGCATACATTGGTGCCTGCCCGGGCTGCCCGACACGTGGAACGAGTTCATCTATACTCGCATTATTTCTCGCTCCTGACAATTTTGGGAGTGGGGGGCAGGAAAGTAATAAAGCCCACAACTACACAGCAAAAGGGTAAAAAAGAAAAAATGAAAAATCGATTTTTGGTTCTTTTTTTTGAATTAATTGAATTTTTTTGGGGGGTTTTGGGCAATATTTCTTTTTCAAATGTGAAGAGCGTTACTGTAAATTGAAAATTTCAATAGTAGGATGCCTCTCGATCGATAATCAATTGTACAACTCGCAATTAATCATGTCATGTCGACTGTTGTCATTTTGATTTTTTTACTTCCCTTCACAGAAACTTGAATTTGAGTGCCGCTGTAATTTTCATGTTGGAATGACGGCTTTAGCCTACAGGGCTAAGGGGAAACTTAAGGACATAAAATGAGGAGATTCAGCCACGGTAAATGATAATACGTTTGCCTAGTGTATAAGCAAGAGTGAATCCATTTTTGCAACGATACCTTGCGTCATCGAAGTTTGTTGCAATCACGAGCTTGTCGCGAAGTCTCTGAGCTGCGCTGCAACGCGCAAGTTTTGCCACCAAATTTTCAATCAGCAAAGATTATTTTGTCGCTGAACCGACGAATAATGTCATCACAGAACTTCACATTGTAGCAAGAGGTGTATGATTGTGTCAGAACTGTTTTCTCAAGGAAATTTTCCACAGATAGATTCTCATAGAGACAGGCAATTAAAAAACAAGCAGTTGTGTTTGATTTCAGAGAGAACAGGGCACAGAAGTCTGTCTACACAGACTTGACCATTTTCTTTTTCAAGGTCCCATTCATAAGATAGACAGCAATATCATACTTTTACTTTCATACACAACAATTTTCTTTCATGACCCAATGGCACAACAGGAAAGACAGCTTTTCCTTTCCCGGAGAATGCACACCGCGGCAGATCGTGCTAGCCCATCGCGTACTTCTGAGTCCAGCTCCTGGCGGTTGTCTCGTATTTGCTCCTGTCGGTCTTGTACATGTGGGCAATCTCCGGTACCAATGGATCGTCTGGGTTGGGATCGGTCAGTAGGGAACAGATCGAAAGCAACACCTGCACCATTCGATTCCATGATTCTTTAGTACTGACAAAACAGAAATATACTTTACTACTGCTCCTTTCGATTTAGAGAAGGTCTTGAGCAATACTGCCAGTAACAGGTGACGGAGTAATGGAGACCAATTCCCACATACGCCAAATACACAGCACAGAACATGTGCACAAGAAAAGCTTGAATCTTTTCATATTGGTAAACAGTAGAGAGAATGACCTTGGATATGGTGAGTGCAGGGCTCCATTGCTCCTTCAAAATATCAAGGCAAATGCTACCGTTGCTGTTGATATTGGGGTGAAAGACCTTAGTACGGAAAGCAACCTGCACAAGTCCATCCATTACAGCAGAAGTATAATTAGCATATCCACCCCAACAGTAACATGTAGAGTGACTACAAAAAAATAGGTATCATGATAATCATGATGCATAATGCAGAGGAACACAAATAAGATTAGGTTAGCAATGTTTCGATATATGAAGAGGTTCAGTCGAGCACCTTTGGCGGTTTGAATGGATAGTCTGGTGGAAAATGAATACTGACTAGAAACACACCACCGGAATAGGGACTATCTGGAGGACCCATGATTGTTGCTTGCCAATGGAACATGTCTTCAGCAACAGGACCTGCAGATCAAGACAACCAAACCAGAGATAAGCCAAAATGTTCCAAAGCCAAAACAAAAAAACAATCTGAAAAATAGGTCAATACACAAAGTTGTTTCTATTATGGATGCAACTGTCAAATTACTGAGATGCTGAATTTTCTGGCTCGACCCAGTGGGAAGTAAAGACTAGTCCAACTGAACAGCATTTTATTGCCTTAAATTGAAAAATAAGAAGTGACCAAGAACTTGCTTTAACCACATAAACTATACCCCAGTAGCAGATGCTACAGCAAGGACTTGAACGTCAAACAATCCCTCACCATGCCACAGATAGGACGTATCTTCTCTTGCTTTCCATCAAATTTTTGTCAATCGTCAAAATTCAGAGTAGACAAAAGCCCAATACACCCTTTCCCTCTCCAACTACAATCAATCCCTCCCACTCAGCTGAAGGATCGTTCTAAGAATCCATAATCCCTACTAACCAAAAACAAAAACCCCAACACACAAACAAACCAACTACCAGAGAAAATATTCTCAAACAACCAACATATCATACTAAACACATAAAACAACATATCATTAACATACAAGCAAACAGGAAATAGATCTGTGAAAGGCGCTGGAGTATCGAACACAGACCTGCGCTGCAAGATGTAGGAGGATCCTTCTGCAGATCCTTGAGCTCCTTCAAGATCCGCTTCGACGCCATCGCCCCCGAACCAAATCAAAATTTGAAAATGAAACCCTAGACCGTTCTGAGCTTCCCTTCTACCAAATTCCACAGCAGAGCAAAATTGATTACAAACAACAGCAATCGAAGAGAATCAAAACATAGCAAACGAAGGAAGGGAACAGAGAAACGCACTTGAGCTGAGAGCGATCCTCAGCCGGTTACGGTTTCGGGTTGTGGCAGCGCGAAAAGGAGAAACCAACAAGAAAGTTGCTTCTGTGAAGGTGAACAGAGGGGAAGGAACTTGTGAGGGAGAGAACGATTTGATTATTTTTGTTGTTGTTTGTCAGCAAGAGAAAGATGGGATGGGACTTTGTTTTATATGGTATGGTCCGGAGCAGGTTATCTACTGTGTTTCCTTCCTTCTGATTGGTTCTCTTCTACTTTTTAGATTCTAACACCCTCTGAACACGCGGGGCCCACTTTGTTTGCTCATTTGTTTTGAGTATAGTAATTGATTAGTGGTTATGGGTTAGGTGATTGATATTTTGATGATCAGATGAGATTCATTCTCATCGTGATATTTTGTTGTTCATTGCTGCTGATAATGATTAATGAGGGATGGGGATCGAGTTCGGTAAAATTAATTTGAACCAAAGCAAAATAAAAATATTGGTTCGCTTCTGAATTCGAAGGGAAATAGGGCTAATTTAGGAATCATGATAGTCCTGATCGAACTGAGTTTCCACATTTCGAACCTATCAACCGAAAGTTTGCATCTCTCTAGCCCAGTCCTCTATAGTCACGGCTAGGGCTGAAAGTTTGGTAACGGTATTTGAGGTATACCGAATGCTGCTCTGATACCATGTAAAATAGAATAGATTGCGTAAGCAAAACACAACGATGTACGTGGTTTCCCCGTTCGATGTGAACGAGACTACTCCACGGTGAGCCGAAACTCGAGTCAATCTTATTAGTCGCAACTTGTTTGTTGTACACAGCTTCAATACTTGTTCGCAGAAGGTCATAACACTGCCCTCTTATACTCGACATGAGTATTAGGGTTAAGCATGACAAACTACACAATGGTCCTCCAAATAATAAGATATACGAAAGGATCACACATTTCTACACTCCCCCTCAAGCTGGAGCGTGTAGATCACGAACACCCAGCTGGACATTAATGTGTGAAACTGCTAGGCTCCCAGGGCCTTCGTGAAGATGTCTACTGGCTGCGACGTAGTACCAATCTTCTCTGGCTTTATCTCCTGTGAGATTACACGCTCTCAAACAAAATAGCAGTCCATCTCGACATGCTTGGTCCTCTCGTGGGAGACCGGGTTTGCTGCAATGTGTAACGAAGCTTGATTGTCACAGAAAAGTGACGTAGGACTCTGTTGAGTGACTCCCAATTCCTTAAGAAGGAACCGCAAGCACAACACTTCACTGACAGTGCTGGCCATCGCTCGATACTCTACCTCGGCTGAGGATCTTGACACAACCTTCTGTTTCTTCGTCCTCCACGACACTGACGATCCACCAAGCTGGATGTAATACCCCGTAGTAGATCGCCTAGTCATCTGACAACCTGCCCAGTCTGCATCGCAATAAACTGTCAGCTCCACCCTGCCAGATGATGGGAAAAATAGTGCTTGGCTCAGCGCCCTCTTCAGATAATGCAAGACTCGTTCTGTCGCTGCTACATGCTCCTGCTTTGGACAACCAACAAACTGAGATTACATATTCACAACATAAGAAATATCAGGTAGTGTTACCGTGCGAAGGTGTCATGAAAATCGACACCCTCGAGCTGCGTGAATCCTTTTGCCACAAGTCGTGCTTTGTAGTGCTCAACATTCCCATCAGCCCTGTAATTTATCTTGTACACCCATTTGGCACCTATTACTCTCATGCCTTCTGGTAGTGTCTCTAAGGTCCCCGTGCCATTCGCCACTAATGCATCAATCTCCTTCTACAGGGCCTCATTCCAACATGCATGTTTAACGGATTCGGCAAAAGGTTTTGGGCTCTACGATCTTGCTGATAATGGCAATGTATGCACGATGCTTAGGTGTAAAATGTTCATACCCTACGTGGTTCGCCATTGGGCATGGTGTCGTTGTCTCCCCTTGTTGTTGCCCGGGAAACACAGTCTCATATATGTCAACTAAGTGACAAGGAGGACGTTTGCCTCGAGTCCCTCGCCTCAAAACAGGCTCATCGACTGGTGTTCCATTACCCACTCCATGTTGCCGAGGGCTATCCTGATGCTCATGATCTTCGTGGCTCTCGCTTCCTTCATCAAAATTGTCCTCCTCGCCATGGTCTGCGCGAACTCCAGTTGGAAAATCCATGATCTCCTCGTTGTCAACATTAGGGGTGGGCATTGGTGCGGTTCGGACCGCACTGCACCGTATTAATATATACCGTACCTAGCTCGTTCTAACTACAACATCCCAATCGACGACCAAGTATAACCTCCGACCGGGTGTAGCATAGGGCAAACAAGAAATAAGAATTTATCGTACCATGGGGATCTAGGCTTACCCTACTTCAGGTTTAGGGTTCGTTATCTAGCCAACCTAGGATAGTGATTGATATAATTAAACTAACTAACCTAGACTAACCACTAGCCTAGCTATTTACAAGGTTGGGAGATCTCTTGGGTTGAATCGTCCTAGGTCCGTTCTTTGGATCGATGTTGGGTATTCTCCTTGCTGGATCGACTCAACTACGCTACCATTTGGAGATGGACTCCCTTGGGAATGACCCAGAATGGCGAATCGATGGATGGGTGGTGCTCTATTCAACCTAGGGTTTCGTATAATGCTAGGAGATCAGTCGAATCAACTCCCTCGGGGATTACCCGGACAATATACGGTAGGAGTGACCCGAAGACTCCAAAAGGGGGGCTCTAAGGGGATTATCTTCCTCCTAGGTCAAAAGCTCAATACATGAAAATAGAAACCCAACTCATGCCATTCATGAAAATATCCATCAATTAAGTAAAATCATCAATCAATCATGGAGTTGTCACATACATCAATATTAAACCCAAATCATGACCTAGGGTTCTTAAACGCATGACAAGAGGGTGAGTTTCTAGAGAGAGAGAGAGAGGAGAGATTACAAAGAAACCTCTAGATCTTCTTCTTCTTCTTCTTCTAGGCTTGATTCCTAGCTTCCAAGCTTGATCAATGCCTTTAATTAAGCTCCAAGATTACTCCCTCTCTCACTAGAACTCCCCTTTGGTGTTTTGGGTTGAAACCCTAGAGAAAGAAAGTGTTCCTTCTCCAAAAACCAGCTCCCTCTTCTCTCTCCCCGTTGTTGTCTTCATATTTGCCAGAAAATGACCAGTTCACCTCTGCGTTGGCCAGTTCACGACCGTGAACACCTAAACGCGTTCGTGAACTCAGTGTCGTCTCCGAAATGAACCGCTTCACTCTCCTGGGTTCACGGTTTGTGCTCCAAGTTCACGGTCTTAGAGACCATGAACTCCCTTGGCGACAGAACTTCTGGAACCTCGTTGGACGCCTCGATGTTCACGGTTATGGATTTTGGCACTTTTCGACCTCCAATCAAACCGAAACTCGTCCTCGACCTTCCCACATGTGCTAGGACCTGAAATGTATCAAAACAAGCACAACCTAGCATGAAATATTTCGAGGGACGATGAAATGCAAAGCCAAACTTTCAAGATATGAGGGGTACAATGTGTACAATTGGACCCGAATCACTCGCCCATACTTGAATGTTTGCTTGTCCCTAAGCAAACCAAGTACAAAACAAGGTAAGCATACAACTTCTTTTTCAACAAAGTTTTTTGGGGCATGTCATAGGGCACAAAAGTAAAGAATCACAATGGTTATTTGACGCCGACCTATATACAAAAACAACGTAATCTTGGCAACCACCACAAACGACATTCAATTGTATTAAGATTGTGCAAATGAAGAGTTCTCACATTATTCACGAACCAACACAAAACATGCCTCGACGACTCACCAGTCACAGTTACTCATGCATGATGATCACATCATAGGAACGAATGATCGAGCAACCTAGGTCCTCACCGGGGTATAAGAAATGAACAAAACATGATGAATGAATCACTCACTCTCGACAAGTGGGGCCAGGACCATTTGATGCAAAAGATGTGCATATTCACGCTCAATTCTAACGTCCCTTTACCATGACGGTAACCTCTAAATGTTAGATTTCACAAGATGAGTGTCGTTGCTAGCTTGTCCGGAGGTTTTAGACACAGGTTCAAATGACTGGCTAGGGTCTAGGACATGGGGAAAAGGCTTTTTGGGTGGTGTCAAACATAGCATAAGGTTCCACATCGTCGCCCTAAAACCAAAACAATGTTCTATGGTTTCTAATAGAACCTTCTTCTATAAGCAATGGCCACTAGCTTCGGCCAAAAACCACACTTCCCACACTTCAACCAATCACCAACCCATTCACAACTATCTTTCTTTCTACATTTGCTATTCAATTTCAAGCACAAGAGTGTGGTAGGAGAACAACATGTAAGTGTTCCTAAAGCTTGCATGCTAAGCAACACTTCTAAGAGCATGTTCAACATTTATTATATTTTTGGTGGCCTCTCTATTTTCTCCTTTGCCCTTTTATTGATTTCTTTTTCTCTTTTTCTTGTCTTTACTCCTTTCCTTGAGGGCTATAGAGAACTAAAAACATACCACATTTTGTAACTTAAGGAACAATGCTCCCATTTACGAACTACCTCCACACTCACTTCACTCCTTAGCAAAACCATACACAAATCACTCATGTGGAACCTCGTTTAAGCTCAAATGGTATGAATGGAGCTTCCAAACACAAGGGTGACTCGATAACAGTGTAGACACGAAGAAAGTAGGGTTGCCTATCTAAGTCAATCAAGCTCAAGTGGCGTGAGCTACCTAACACGAGAATGACCCTTCGATACACGGCTCAAAGGGGTTGACTAAGGGATGATGTGATCGGTTTGGTCAACTTTTGGATCGTGGGCTAATCCTATATATCCATCTTTCTCGCTAGCAACAACGTGAATGCGTAACCTCGTTTAAGCTCAAATGGTATGAATGGAGCTTCCAAACACAAGGGTGACTCGATAACGGTGTAGACACGAAGAAAGTAGGGCCGCTCTATCTAAGTCAATCAAGATCAAGTAGCGTGAGCTACCTAACATGAGAATGACCCTTAGATACACGGCTCAAAGGGGTTGACTAAGGGATGATGTGATCGGGTCGGTCAACTTTTGGGTCGTGGGCTAATCCTATGCCTCCATCTTCCTTGCTAGCAACAATGTGAATCCTACACATCATGTAAAGGGGGATCTATCGCAAA